CACTGCTGGACTAGTCAATCTTGTTCTGTCTCATCAAACTGGTTTTCCAAATGTGAGTATCTTTTTATCAATAAACTAATGATCATAACTGAGCCTGCTCTGCTACTCAACCTAGGTTCAAACTGTAACCCAGCAACAAGCAGTATGTAACATGCTACATGCTCAACAAAGATCTTACTTGCCCAAATCAAGCAAGTGGAAGAAAGGCTCTGCTAGCAGCTAGGGTGGATATAATTTTGTCATTTTGACAATAAGGAATTCATCATTATTAATGGTAGTGTAGTGAAACCAAATAGAGGAATCGTACATAAATTTCAATCAATTGAAATAAAACTTCATTTATTGAGGGTAACCCCAAAATAGTGGCAAAACTAATAAAGAGTGGCTCTCTGTCCCAGTTTGGCCTATACAGGGATAATGTACCACCAGACAAGGTACATGTGTATATGTTTTTTCTCTCCATTGACCTAGACAGGGTCCTAATATTAAATACAGTGGTTGTTATCCCATATAGAGTGGTTGTAGAGTAGTTTCAGATAGCTTGTGAGGAAGTTTAAGCAGGGTTCATACTCTATTGAGGTCTTCAAATTTTTTCCATAACTTTTTCCATGACCTTTTCAAGTTTTCCAAGACCTTAGGTTTAGCTGTCAGTTTAAAAAATTTTAAAAACTTTCCCTGTTTTAGGGTATTTTTTGACCTTAAACAATTCAACAGACACAAACTCTGGTGTCCACTAAAATGCATGCCGTTTGCACTGTTTAATTACTCCTTCCTGTCTTACATTGTCCTTGCCTTGTCATTTGCAGTAACTAATTTATCAAACAAAACTTAATTTTCCATGACTTTCAAGGACCGACAATTAAATTCCATGACTTTCCAGGTTTTCCAAAATCTGTACAAACCCTGTTTTTGGGGGGGTATTATAAGATGTCAAACGTTTGTGAGTGGTATATGAAAGATGTGGCTAGGTTCAAGCCATCAGTAGCACCCCTCTGTCAAGTCTTAGTCAGGTAACCCCAGGCTTGGAATTCAGAGGGACTGTTTTGGGATGGCAACACGTCCATTTTTTATACCTCAAATGCTGCTACAGCTGGTGGTAGTGACACTGTTACTGTACTAGCAGCTTTCTTGACACCAGCCGCAGCTGTCGCAGGAGCTGGCAGCTGGGACCAAGAGTCAAATTTTTTCTCCATTGCTGCCACTTCTTGTAGATAAGTACGTTCTTCACGTAACAGATCATCATAACTGGTAGAAGTAAATATTACAATATACTTGCTTATAAGATGTCATTTCAGTCATAAATAAAAGCATAATCATTACATTATATACTCATTATATTTTGCTTCACTACTGTGAAACTCACAAAACCGTGCACACCAGAAAAAATTTATGTAATGTCATTGTTTTGCGAGGAAAAAGCAATTAAGGCATGAGAAAACTAAACCACAAACAGCAACAGTAATAAATATTGTCGTTCTGAGGTTTGCTCATGTGTCCTTAACTGAAATCTGCATTCCTGGAGTTTTTCAGGTGTTCACGGTTTTCTGAATTTAATAGTAAAAACAATAGACTTGTAGATCACATGTTGTCATTAAATAAAATCAAAATAGTCAGGGCAATCATAATCAATCATTTGTGGAGAGATTTTAAAGGTCCCAGGATAATTATTAAAGTATTATTGTTGTAAGTTGTTGTTGTTATTATCATCATCATCATCATCATCATTATCATCATTGTATCAAATAAGACAATCAAAAACAACATTCTATTAAACAGAATACATACACTTTCCTTTGTTGCTCTTTAAAAGTCATCATAGAGTTCTCAATTTCCTCCATGATCTCTTTGAGCTTTTCGACAAATTCAGGAGATGGCTTGACATCTCTTAGATCCCATTGAAATTTGTCAACATTTGACCTAATTTTGCCCAACTGCTGCTTTAGTTTATGCTCTGAAAAGCAACAAAGGAATAAGGAACAACCAAAATAAAACCTTTACTCCAGGATGTATGATTGATTGTATTCCAAAACAAGATAACGCCCAAGTTCTTAATGCAAATCCCTTCTACCATGATTTTGGAACACTTAAATGCTACATAAATCGGACTATTTCACTTAAAGCAGATTTCTATTTATTGTAATGCAATGAATGGAAAAACAAGTTATTTCTAGAGTTTATTCAATTTATTCTTATTCTGAAATATGGTCAATCAAACACACCCTAAGTAACTTAATGTAAATCCTTTATTACGTCTCCTGGGGGGGCTTATTTATTTTGAGCCCATTTGAGAGGTGGCGGGGGGGGGGGGCTTAATAG